AGCTCGAGTCAGCTTCACAATTGTGTAAAAACCCAAAGACCTAGTACCACCACCAAAAAAAACTAAACTAAAAATGGAAGTTTAATAAAATCATTCTTCTAGCATGTATTTTGGGCCCAACTGATGTGGACTGCATGAAGAGGTTATAAGTGGAGGCCGATGAGCCTTTGAAACAGTGGCCTTTTTTTGGGTGTGCTAAAAATAATTGATTTCCAAAGAGAAAACTTTTCAAGATGATATTTGGTGGTTGACATTTTTTAAAGTTTAAAGATTAAAGTTATTAATATTCTGCTAGGTGATTTGGAGATCTGCTTGTCTAACGCCAAGAGCTGTAACTCTTTGCTAATGAAATTTTCATCCTATTTCCTGAATTATCGTGTTAATACTAATGTCCAATTAGAATTAATAACGGGCCTTGCCTCAGGACCAGAAGTGAATGAAAAGTAGCTTTTAATGAAACTTTAGATTTTGCGATTTCTATGACTGTAGATATTTTATCTGCTTGTGAGATTAATCTGTGTGGACACTGTGACCCTTTTTTCTTTAACTCGCTTGTCAGAACTTGTCGCTCAAACACGATCCTCTGCTTTCATGTATAGTTATCAAAGGTGAACGAGCAGTTCTGTTATTGCTTTTATTGCTGCTCCACTCTTGCTCTTTTATTCAGTTGTCTTGTTTTAAATTCAGATTGAGCCATCTGATACAGGACCATATCATCTTGTGTACTTGCACAGAATCTAATACAATGGGGCCTGGTTACTAATTGGAGCTTTTGGGTGCTCACACAATGGAGATAATTAGTAATAAATGTACAGCTGTAATAGCAAGTAGTGTTCACAGCATGCAATACGATGCATGACAGTTAAGCTCCTATGTGCTGTTTTAGTTCCTACTGAATGTATTTAAGGAATCATCGTTCTTCTTTCTTTGCCTGTATGGTGTTGCCCAGAGGCACTCTCTCTATTCTGGTGTAAGTGCTTATGCTGCTAATACCTTAATTAACTTCTTCAAATATAACCGGTCAGGGCACATCCGGATAATAATCAGAAATGTACTGATCAGCAGTCTACAAGATTTCTCCAAGAAAGCTTGAAGTGTCATCTGGAGAAAACTTAAAGCCTGATGTTAAGCACATGAACTTATGCTTTTGGAGTTAAACAAGCAAACAAACAAAAAACCCCGACCGACCGACCAACCAACCAACCAACCCCCCTCATTAATTAATAGTTTCACCAAAACCTTGGCATGGTTGCATCTCTCTTTTGCTTCTTCCACGTTTTCAATTATCAGCTGCTCATAGAACACTTCCGGTTGTCAGTCCATCCTTGACCAAATTTCTTCTATCTGACATTGGTAATAATAAGAATTCTGACAAATTTTGTTGTTTGGACCACATTCAGAGTTTTTTTTCAGTACTATATTAAATTGAGGGGTGGGGGTGTTTTCAGGGTTTCAGCTTAAAAAACCCAACCAAACAAAAACCTTTCAAAGCAGATATATCTGTGTCAGCCTAATGTCTTTCTCATTGAGAACTTGTTCAGCTTCTAAAGTCAGGCAAATATATTATCATGAGACCCATGACAAATGGGTCTACATTAAGGTAATTTATTGTCCTGAGACCAAATTTTTTTTTTTTGTCTTCAAAGTAAGTACATGTTGTTTCTCAGTAGCTCTCTGAAGTAAGATACAATTGTGATTCCTGGTGATCTTTGATTGGAAAACTTTTGCATGCAGTCGTAAGACTTACCATTGTCCCTGTCATTTAGAGTTTATGGTATAAACAGCTAGCAGTGACAAAATTCAAAAAGAGAAAGAAATCACGAGAGAAGAGATGTAACGTTAGCGCTGTGGTTTGAAAGAGAAGGAATCTCACCACTAGTGGTTGGTGGGCTATCCAGCTACCAACTCTTAAGTTAATTTCCATAGATTTTGTTCTGGGTGAAAGATCTAGAGAAAGTGGTGGTGTGCCACTCTTACTTTTGATGTTAAACTAATAGATTTTGATGAAAACTTCTATGTGTCGACTGAACCTGTAGTTGTTTTAGGTGGCTGAAAACAAAGCTTTTAACTGTTTGTGGTTTGTGTTTTTTTTTTTTTCCTAAAGCAGTTGTAAGATCTCTTATTGTATCACATTTGCAATGATCATGCAAGTATGGTTTTTTTAAGTGCTAGATCTCTTGAAGAATTAGAACTTGTTTCTGATGCTATTTTGTCAGTGAGGCAAATGGCAATGAAAGCATGTACTTAAAACAGCAATGAATATGTGAGTGCAGAGACGTCCAATTAAGCTTATTTAAAAAATTAAAAGTAAAGTAGTGCGCATATTTTTTTTTCTGTTACTTACACACCTCTTCTTCCCTCCCCATGGATTCTTTAACTTTTGAGAAAAACACAACATGCTCTTTATAATTAGTTTTACGTTTGAATAAATTTACATGGTTTGAAAAATGAATGTTGTCTGTAGATTATTCTTGCTTCTGAAGAACTGGCGCCAAGTCATCTAGTTGAATGTATATTGAATTATTTTTTTCATAAAGCATCTCATGTGCTGCTTTCAGCTCTCCTAATGTTGCATTGATTTAATCTAGTCTCCCCCCCCCCCCCCTCCCCCCCCCTTTGGTTTTCTGATCATATGTGACTGTTTTTTTTGTGGTTGTGTGCTTGTTTTTTGGGTTTTTTGGTTTTTTTTTTTTTTGTGTGCAACTGATATGTAATGTCTTGAAGTACTCATCTTGTGTGTGGAGAAACACAAGTTGAGCTGATGTGTAGTGAATTACGATTGTAGTCATAACACTGAAAGAAAGTATTTATTTAAGCTGCACAGGTGGTACTGTGTTCCTGTAGTCAGATCTACTGATTTCTAGAGGTTGGATCTGTGCAGACAAACAGGACAGCTGCCTGCAGGGTTTCCGGGGGATGCTTGTTGCTTCGTTTTGACAGCAGAGATCCTGTGGGCATTACTTGTAAGAGCAATGATGAATTTTAGAAAAGAGTACTGATAGCTCGTTATTTCTTCATAACCAGGACTTTCCAAGGAGAAATGGATGAATTATGAAAAGTGCTGAGTTTTTTCCCCCGTATACATCCAGTATATTTGAAGACTTTTACAAGTATGAAAAGTTCTTTGCTGAATGTATCTTCAAAATATGCTTGCTCTCTTTAAAAATATTCTGGTGTGGATGGTTAAACTCCTATCATCTTTTACTTTTAATCAAGTGTTTCCCTATTCTGTGCTGTCAAAGAGTCTGCACTGCAATCCAAACGGGTTAGTTGCTCTGGGAAGGTTTGTGTCCCTTCCCTATTTATGTCAGAGGCTATTCAAGAACATTAAATGTTGTGAACTTTTAGAACCACTGAACTATCTTGACAGTTGGTAGTGCTCCTATTTTATTCTCTTTTTGGGTTTCTGTGATTTTTTTACTTTTCTCAGTAGAACTTCTGTAACAACATTTGTGCTTGTAGCACGTCTGTATGCAAGGTGAAATGAAAGGATCAGTGAAAGAAAGCTCAGGTTAGGGTCACGCTCTCAGTTTTGGTGTAGACCACCAACACGATTAGTTATGGCATGATCAGGCATAAGTTAAATTACAGCAGCTCAGGTGGTAATTAGTAAAACTGACATAACTCAGGTTTGACTGAGAGACCAAACTTGGACTGACTTTTGAGTCGTCATGTCAGCTTTGTCTCTTGTACGCTTATTTTTTGCACTGCTCTTAAGCCATGGTGTTTCCTGTCTGATCGTTTGATCACATCTTGATAACTATATTGTTCTTTTCGCTGGTCTTACTAAGTGCAGTCACATCTTGTTGGTTCCAAAAAGGTGCTTTTCTAGTCTTTTTTGCTTTGCCAATCTTCTGAGCCCCACAACAGTTTCTATCTTCCTTTACCATATCAGATGCAAGCTGCTAGTCTTCACTTTCAGCTGCTTGTGGTATATGCTCAGCACCTTTATTACTTCTCATTCACTGTCAAGATGTTGACTTGTTGCAGCTGGAGTTTGGTACTAGTTTCTGCCAAAATTTCTTCAATTTATTTTCTGCAGTCAGGAGGTGTGCTCTCCTAGGCTGCTGCACAAGTTTAAGACCTTTGTCTGTGCAGCTGCCTTGTTATTCTTCCTGAAACTCTACTTTAGTACTCTTGTTGCAAAGATCAAAGAAAACTTTACAAAGGTAACTCAGGTGTGTTACAGCTATCATGCTGTTTTGTGTCTCTTGTGGTTTTTATCTTTTTTTCACTGTTTTTTGTCTTTCTACTTGTTCACTGTTTTTTCTTGTATACAGAATGTTATCTCTATAGAGCAGTCTTCTGTGGGATTAGCACAGAGAGGTCTAAATTAATGACTTGGGCTCCCAAGTACTGTCATAGTGTAAAGAAATTTTAAGAAAATTCAGATGTCTGCAACTGAACCAAGCTCACAAGTTGCTGGTGATAGTGTAGTAAGCTTTGGGGTTTTCTTTGTATGTAATGTGAGAGGAATGTACCTTGGCTAAATTTGTCAGTGTTTTAATGAAAAGTTGGCTGGGGCTTTGCAATGCTGCAGTGTTAGATAACCAATGATAGGCAGGAAAGGTGTTTCTTTTGAATGAAACTCTGCAGATTTATACCAGGCAAAGTTCTGGTCCACTTAATAAAGGAAAAACTGGAATAAAAGTTCTGTTAGCTGAATCTAACTGAATTAGCCTCATGTATTTCTTACAGCATTAAAACCTCTGTTATTTTTAATAGATTTTCAAGCATCATTTTATCTGGACACAACATTCTTTTCTATATATATTCTGAACTTTTATCTTTGAAATATTTTCTTTGTGATAATTGCATTGAACTAAATTATCTGCTTTCCTGAAGCAACAGGTTTAAGCTTTTAACTGTAAAAAATGCCTTCTAAAATGCTTTTTTATAACATGTCATGATTGCCTTTTTTTAGCACTTACTATAAATCAAAACACTAGAGATTTAGAGGATATACCTTTAAGTATAATATCTTAACATTGCCTTTGCAGGTACATGATGCTGATTGATGGCAAGAATGAAGTTTATATGATCGATAGAGACAATTCGATCTTTCATGTATCTAATCTGGAATTTCCATTTCGTAAAGATCTTCGCACACATCTAACAAATACTCTTCTGGATGGGGTAAGGAGCATACTGTATAATTATTGTAACAATTTCAGTGCTGTTTGCTTTTGTTCAGAAACAGGGCGAAGTTTTTAGGCCTGGATCAGTGAATCATGGGATTTCAGGAGTAATATAGATTCAGTCACTGGCGGAATGTGGGAATCACACTTCATAGGTTATTTCTTATCTACAGAATAGCAGCGAAGACTGCTCTGGGGGGAGCTCTTTGTCTTTGAAATAAATCAAGGTATTGAGATGACATTCTCTGAATATGAGAAAAGGCTTGAAGAAAATCTAAAGAAATTATTGCAAAACCTCATCTCTTATTATAGCTTTATATTTTGATACAGTAAACATGGTCAATTTGATCCAGTTAATGTAAATATTTCTGAAATTTGATAAAATTTTTGTCATCTTTTGATAGACTTTTGTGAATTGGTCTTTGCTTCTGTCACCTTTATTTTCAGCTGATCTGAATTATTGACTGATTTAGAAATGGCTTAGTTGTATTTGTTTAAGACTAAAACATTTCTAAGTTGTCATGCTAATTTAAATTATGTAAACCTGCTAATGAACTTTTAAAGCTAGTTGTAAACAAGCTGCAAAACATCTGTATTTGTTGTTTGAAGGCTGGCCTGGAGTATTCTTGGTAAACTTTTCAGAACAGTAACCACAAGAAGAGATTATTCCTTTCTTGACCTTCCTATTTTAGATAAGCAAAAGAACTTCATTAGCTCTTATGCTAAATACCTGTCAATGTAGATGAACACAGTTACCTATCATGTTGCAGTAGCATTGGAGGCTCTCTACATTGCTGTCACTCTTGTTTGCTGAAGTACTGAATATCTGACATGATCTTCCATATTGGTCTTCTGAAGCCTAATGCACCTTTCAGATATGGGAGACCATATTGTCATTATTAACTTTCTTTCCTTTCTCAGGCCTTTGTTGTTGGTATCCTTCTTGAAATGTCACTTCTGTGAATGATCTGTCTTACTGAACACACGTTTACATGTGAAGCATGTATAAATGGAATCTATAAGGATAATTATTGCAAGGAACAATGTACTGTCTCAGGGGCAGAGAAGTAGATAATGGAATATCTTCCACCACCTCTGCTTCACTGAAAAATTGAAAGCATAATGCAAGAAATGCTATGCTGTCAGCTCAAAAGTGGTTGCACAAGCTGTCATGTCTGGTAGGAGCCTCTTCAGCCAGGCAGCTTCCTAATGACATACATAATAATATTCTTAATGACATACATTAAGTTCCGTACTGTTGAGATAAAAAGCCTGGTATGATTTTTTTTCCCCTGCTCTTTTTACGGCTCTTGAGAAAGTAATGGCTTGCCAATGTCCATATTGTGCAATCCTAGGTGTTCTTCATGGAAACTGCTGTTCTTTTTTTTTGTGTTTCAAAACAGACGTTTTAGTAAGGGTGGCTAATATGTACATGGTGGGAGACAGGGATGCACATATATTGATAGATGTGCATAAATGTGGCTGTGGGGTGTGGGAAAGGGGCTCTGATCTGGTGTGTTGTTTCCCAGGTTTATAGTATAAGTCTCTTAAGAATAAATGAAGTTCAGTTACCCAGGACGTGAACTATTACTTCCCTTAATTTGTTGTTTTGTAAAAGTTTGACTGTTATAGTGCATTTCAGTATTTCACTTTATTGGCATAAAATTAGTCTTACTGTGATTTCTGCCCCCCCCCCCCCCTTAGATCGCAAAAAGGGTAAAGCAGAAAGGCCAAGCAACTAAAACCTTTCAATGGATAAATACTTTTCATAGTACAGATTTCTAAATTTATTTAAGTATGGTCAGTTAAAAAAAAAAACAGCTGTTGATGGGATATTTTTCTTTTCAATTGAAATTCCTTTCAACAGGTTTGAGAATAAAATTTGTCTATTATTTGAAGCATCAGAACAGCTTAACTTTGTAATTGAATATTTGTTTAATGTCGGTGCCAAATGATAATTTCCATGACTGTTCCTTTACTCTGGATATATGCATGATTTCTTTCTTTTTTTTAATCCATGGGAAGAAAATTTTGGCTTTTTTCTGTTAACATATTTTGCTAATTAGTGCTGAAGGGCTGTTGAAGTTAATTCTTTAATTACAGGTTGAAGTAGTTCATACTTACTCCCCTTGAAGTAGCTTTCTGTCTTTCAGAGAATGAAAGTACAGAATGAGGTGGCCCAATTGGCATTGCTTTACAGTAATCTTAAAAAGTATGAGAAAGAAGGAAAGACAAAACAGAGGTATCAGTGCCATGCAGCAAAACAACTACTGGTGTTAAGAATACAAAAGATCATGTAATTTTCCCTAACTTTATTTAGAATGACAGTGTATATAAAACTTTCATAAAGGCAATTTCCATTAATTCACTGATCTATTAACTTGCTTTAAGGCTTCTGGTGTAAGCCTTTCACGTGGTTGTCTTTGAGAATTTCAAATGCATTTACGGTTCACTTCAGGCTGAAATTACTTTCAAACAGTTCTTACTATGATCAGTTACGTCTTGGGTGATGAGAGATCTGCAATACTCCGTGCTCATCTCAGCTCTTCAGTTGTGATTATTCTCCTGGCATGGAAGAAAGCTTTCTGCAAAGCTCATTAAAGCTAATTTGTATATTACCTACAGGTGACTAGTATAATATGAAGTATTCCTTTAGAAGCCAAGTGTTTTGCATCCATACTGCTATCTGAGGGAATGCATGGATTTTTGTTCAAGTGTTTTGGCTGTCATGCAGAAAACTAATTAGTTATTTTCAGGAACTTTCTTGGCATTCTGCTTAGCTTTGGAACAGTTGAGTAGAAAATGCAGAGGCATTCTTAGGCTTGACACACTTTTTACAATTTTAATACAATTTTGTATCTATTTTATTTATATATAAAATATTGTTCACATTTGAAGACTTAGGAGGGCCAAAGGACTCCAAAAGTGGAGAGCGAGACTGAGATTGATTTATGTTTTTGTATCAGTACAGACCTCACTTATTTGTAAGCTTTCTCAGAAATGGCATAACTTACAACTTTCTGAGTTTGCAAAGGCTGGTACTTTGTGCAAAATAGACTTTAAAAAAAAAAAAAGTCTTTTCATTCCAGAAATACGGCAGCGGCTAGAATTGTGTTAAAGGTAAATGGACAAGGGAAAGGCAAGACACAGGAGGAAAAGGAACAATAGACAGATGTGTGATTAGATCTGATTCCATACTCTGCGTCAACAAAAAAATACATTCTGCAAGTGGCTGCTAAAATGAGATCCTTTGCTTTGTGATTAAATTTTGGATTATTTTAAGTCCAAGTTGTTTGCTAGATATGTGATTCAAGGAAAAAAGAAAAAGTCCATGAGCTGTCAGTCCAGCATTGTTCTTTTGGTACTTGTCCACCTTAAAAGCTCTTAGCACAGTTGCTGTTTCTAATAGCTGTAAGACTATCTCTGCAGCACCAGAAGATTAAGTAAAGGAGATGAACACCAGCACAGTTTTGCCAGATTACATCAAAGAAACTGGCCATTGGACCTTGTTTGGCAAGCCTGCAGGTTAAGCTAATACCTAAACTAGCAGCTAATGGGCAAGTGGTAAAGATCATACTTACTAGCAGTGATAATTTTAAAACACACAATAGTGGCTGTAAGTCTATGTGGGGTCTATTAAAGGAAATGGATCTTATGGATACTTTTGTGTTCTATTATCATGTCATGTGAGTGGTTTTGTGTTTAAGTTTTTAGTTATCTAAAAATTGGCTTAAATATAGCCTTATAGTGTCAGGTTATTACTCAGATCAGAATGAGTGAGTTTGAATGGGATCAGTTTCTCAAATACTACATTTTCCCAACAGTCTCTGAACTTACCTTTGAGGTCTATTCCCTGAGGTATTTTTCAATTCTCATAATTTCAAGGAAGATTCTGAAATCAGACTGTTAAATAATGATGTGTTAGAGTATTTCTAATCTAAGTCGTTCTTATGATCACGTTACAGCTTTTGCCTTACAACAGTTGTATTGATGTAACTAATGGAGCCCTGAATGTTGTTGTCATGATGGAGATGAGCAGTGCAGGAATTTGTTATCTCTACTTCTAAGGCATATTGTGCTACTGTTTATTTGCTCTGGAAGGTGGGATTTCAGTCAAGATGTGAAAAGAGAACAAGAGGCAGGGGAGGAAGAAAAGAAGTGAGGATGTGAGGAAAGAGGCTAGTTTGACCAGTAATAGAGTCAAAAAGGTTTATACATGTCTGAAGAGGAGAAAAAGTTTCTTTATAAAATGAATTGTCTTAAAACTGAACATTCCAGAGAAGGTTTAAAAATCATTCTTGGTCCTCTTGGCTGTATTTTATAATTCTTCTTAAACTGAATATTCAGAGATTCAGATTTTGAAAATGAGGCATAAAATCGTGTAATACCAGGCATTGAAATGTTTTCAGGGTTTTGCATACAAATGCTAGCTTTGCATCAAAGCTGAGGCTCTGAATATACATGCTGAGGAAATGAGTCCTTAAACCTTAAATATATGTTCAATTACATTTTTTTTTTAAATTTCTTTCACCTGCTAATGCGATTGAAACTTTAAAGAAATATGGTAGCATTCTTTTGTTTCAGTTTTACTTTGTTATTCATTTCACCTGATTGCTATCAGGAATTCCTGGTGGATTTTTTTCCCTTTTTTTCTCTCTCTTTTTTTTTTAAATTACATTATATCTTTACACACTCTTCCAAGTTTGAACATCATGCCTTCTTTCTCTCTTAGGGTGTACCTGCTCCATCTGTTCTTGCAGTTAGTTGTAAAATTTATTATCAAAGAAGGCATTGCAGCATTGCATCTGCTGTTCCTTTGATAGCTCACCAGTCTTACCTAAATACTGGAAAGTAACAGAATGGCATTTTGTTACATTGCTTCTATGTAGACTTTTTGCAAATGTTACTTGACAGTACCTGTGACTAAATGATTTTTAGAGTTAAGAGTAAGATACTGTAGTGTTACAAAGGAATATTTTTCACTCATGGAATTAATTTTTTTTTTTTTTTTTAAAATGATGTGGAAAGATGTGTAAGGTCACTTCAGGTAGTCATTCACAACACCTGTGAATGCTGCATTTGGCTGTGAAAGCCCAATCTCCATGTCAGTATTGTGTTCACAGAAGATGAGATTTTGAAAATACTAAGTGGGCAACTTATAGTTCCCAATGGCTTTTGAGAACAACAGGTTCATGGCTTCTAGTTTAGTTTTAATTGCTTCAAGCTTTGTGTTTGCTTTAAAACAAATCTATGTTTTTACAACTGCTTGCTTATTTTTCAAAGCCAAATGTGATTAAATACTAGGTACAATTCAAGAAGCTTAGTATGTTTACAGACTGAAAATCAGTCTTACATAGAGACTCGTTTGCATTTACTTTGTAGAAGTTATGGATTCTAAAAGAAGTTAAAAGATTGTAAAACATAAAAATGCTACTGACCTAGCAAGAAACAAACTAAACAAAATTAATTTGAGTTGATGTAAAGTTCTCTTTTGGAATAATACTTGAGCTCACAATGTTGTTTTCATCATCTTATAGTGAAATATTTTCACCTTTTCCAGTAGTTTTCTCTCATATGTGTGAATTTGATATTGGCAGCAAAAAATCCTTAGCTGATCCAACTAACTTATTAGCCAAAAATAGGGCGGGGGAAGTGGGGGAGGGAGAAGATTGATTGCATTTAGAAAAGTGAATATTTCAAAGTTTTCTCTGAAAAAGGTCTCCCAATTGGTTGATTGTTACCATTTTCAATCATGACTAATTTATATGAAAATAAATATTTTTGATTAGTTTATCAAACTAATAACCTATGTCTAATTCTTATCATAGGAAGCCTGATGTAAGCACCAGCATGTAAGATGTATATATTTTTGTATGTACCATTAAGTTCAGGAAACATTTTTGTGTTTGGATGTTGATCGTTAATAGTCTTTCTTCTAGCTGACATATTTTCAAGATGGTTTACCAGTATGTATTGAATGTTAACTAATTTCATGTGATACAGATAGTATCTGTGATATTTATTTCCATTTGAAGGAATCCTACTGTTTAGTCACAATGCAACATTCAAGCAAATTGCAGTTGTCACTGCTGCCTAGGACACAGTTAATGTGAAAAGGTCCAACCTGAGCTTAGAAAATAGATGTTAATATTTGTTCTTTACTTCCTTGCTGTTGTACTACTTATTGTATGTGAGATTTCCAAAAGTGCTTGGTTGACTTAGGATCGCAGTTCTTACTGAGGTTTCTAAAAACTCATTATTCACTCAAGAAAGGTAGTGATTTTGAAAGCTGTGGGGAAACTAATGTATAAATGTTGCAGATCAGAATGTGGAGCCTTAGTACAGCTTCCTGGCTGCTGTATTGAATGCTTCATGAGAGGTATTTAAGACCATAATAATATTTTTGTAAACTTGACCTATTGTAAAATCTTTGTGATAATAAAGATGTGTCCAGTGTTTGATTGCATCACGCTTATAGGTACGTGCACTAAGTATAAATGTGTTGACATTATTCTGTATTCATGAAATAAATGTAAATGACATCTCTCTTCTTTTAAGGAAATGATCATCGACAAGGTTAATGGACAGGTTGTCCCTCGGTACTTGATATATGACATTATTAAGTTTAATGTAAGTACTTTCAGTTTTATTGCTTTTATCATTAGTTGTTGATTCTCATTTCTATTTTAATCTTATTTGTATACGTAAGAGCTTCAGAGTAAATTTAGACACCAAAAAGGTTTGGGTATTTTGTAATTCGGTAACAAGCAATGTTTCAGAATTAAGATTGAAAGCAGCCTTATAACTCTATCCCAGCCGAAACCAGGACATAGATGTTGATTTATTTCCACTTGCTCAACAAAAGATGGCGGTTTGAAAGAGTCCACTAAGCGCTGTTGGAAAATTTCCCATTTCTAGAGCATGTTTGAACTATTTAGGCAGTGAAATTGAGAGGGGATGGAGAAGTTAGCCTGTAAGTGGTGTATTTGTTACCAGAGCATCACAGTGGTCCTTGTTAGGCTGCTCCATCATCTCTTTCTCAAATTTCTCTTTGAAACCAGGCAACTGGTCCTCTGGTAAGTCCTCAACAGCACGCTCTCCTGTTTACACTGGCTGCAGGGCAAATATGTAATAAAGAAATATATTGTGGAAGTTGTGGAAAAGGAGAAGCCTTTGTTGACAGGTAGGAATGAAGTCTTTGTGGTCACAAGAAAGAGCTGTTAAACAGTACAGAAAATGAGAAATTTTTTTCTTTAAAGCAGCTTTCAAATATGGTAAAGGTTTGAACGTCACCAAAGGGCTCTTGTATGTTATCTCTTATAATTTTTTTTTTTTAAATTTCTTGTATTTTCCCTCCAAAAGTAATGATAAATGTGGAATTTGAAGTTAGTCAGGGGTCTTATGGCAGGGTCTCCTACTGAAGCTTATTTGAAGACCTAACCTTGACAGTGCGTTCCACTTGTTAGCCCTTACTATGAAATAAATTTTCTAGTGATTTCTCTGTTATGTCTCAGGAAGAGAAAATGTCCTTCAGGAAGGATCAATTTAACTATATGTATCTTTTTAAAACAATGTTTAAAATACTTCTGTGAAAACAGAAAGTGTGTACTGGTTGTGGCTGGGGTAGAGTTAATTTTCTTCATAGTAGCTAGTATGTGGGTATGTTTTGGATTTGTGCTGAAAACAGTGTTGGTAACACAGGGATGTTTTCGTTACTGCTGAGCGGTGCTTGCACAGAGTCAAGGCCTTTTCTGCTTCTCACCCCACCCCACCAGCGAGTAGGTTGGGGGTGCACAAGAAGCTGGGAAGGGGAGGATGTTTGGAGTGATGGCGTTTGTCTTCCCAAGTCACTGTTACGCGTGATGGAGCCCTGCTTTCCTGGAAATGGCTTAAACACCTGCCTGCCGATGGGAAGGAGTGAATGAATTCCTTGTGTTGCTTTGCTTGTGTGCGTGGCTTTTGCTTTACCTATTAAACTGTCTTTATCTCAACCCACGAGTTTTCTCACTTTTACCCTTTTGATTCTCTCCCCCATCCCACCAGGGTGGGGAGTGAGCGAGCAGCTGCGTGGGGGTTAGCTGCCTACTGTAGTTAAACCACAACAATGTGTTAAATTTAGTCACTAGACCTGTGACTAAATAGCCCATGGAATAACACTCTAGTATCTGTTAATGCTTCTGGAAAAACAAAATTATTGTTTCAGTGCTCCTAACAGGACAAACAGTATTACTAAACCATAGTGCATTTCAGACTTCCTAAACTACCATTGACTCCTCCAGACTTGAGTAAGATACTACTCAGCTTGAGTAGGCCACTCAGTGTAAGTGGGTATTGCAAATGTAGGCATGGTACTAGTCACCAAAAATGACTTTGGTATTCTTGGAAGTGTAGTCATACTGTGACTTAGGACAGCTGCTTTTAAAAGTAATAGTTTGTGGGGAATACATGTTAGATTAGGAATAGAAGCTTTTTGTTAACCTATTTTAATTCTGCATCTTGATGATCTTTTCTTTAACCTTTCTGAAAAGTAGCTGTTAGTTTCCTGGATCCCTCCTATAATTAGGACTTTGCAGTAAGCAGAAATTCCTTGTAGACTTCTGAAAAAGAGGATCTTCTAAAACCACTCCTGGGTTCTCATTTTTCCTTTACATTTTCTTACTTGTTTCTCTGACTGTGATTCCATGTTTATTTACCGTCATGTCTTTTCTTGTCTCTACTCTCACTTTGTGTCTAACCTGCCATTCACTGCTGTTACTTTCCCTTTGAAAAATAAATGTGTGGTAAGAAGTGCACAGTCTCCTTCCCTCAGTTTGGGATATGCATATACTGTCCTAGCAAAACATTTTTTGAAAGTCATAATTACTTTGGTGAAACATTTTTTGGAGTGGAAAGGGAGGAAACCCTCATTCGTAGCGAAGTGTCCAGACTTAACATGAAGAATCCCACTTGGCAAACAGGAAAAATGATCAGAGGGTTTCCAGAGGATTGTTAAAGTTTGGGAAATGTTTGCTTTTGAGCAGAGCTGTAAATGTGTTAAAGCTTGTTTGGTTTTGTTGGTTTGTTTTTTAAATATACTGGGAATGAGAGAGAGGAGTTAGTAACTACATAATACTATTTTAATGTCAAGGACAAATTAAGATAACGTTATCAGTATGAGAACAAGCCAGGCTTCAGCTGCAAGAAGTCATTAGCAGTGGTCCTACTACAAAGATTAAAAAACACAGTGGTTTTTAGGTTAATTTTAGAAGCTTAATTACAAAACTGGGCACCCGAGGATGTTCGGCTTGGCAGGAAATGATCAACAGAATTTTATCACCAAGAGAGGTAAACGTATTGAAAACTTGTAATTGGCAAGAAAGGGTAAGTTCCTTTTTAAGTTGTGTAAGTTAGATTTGTGTAAATTATCCTAGCAGAGCTTCAAATCAAACAATTACACAAAGCATCAGTCCTGTTTAAAAACAAAACACCCTCTTGCCCTGAAACAAACACCACCACCATCACCACCACCCCCCCAAAACCCCCCAAAAAATACAAAACACCCAAACCCAACACAACCTGACAGACAGCTATATGAGGCGCTCTGGAATTCGACATTGCTCCTTTTCATCTTGAAAATAGTTGTGTCTTCTGAAGGTGAATGGTGGAGTTACTGTACTCACTGTCCGTCACATGAGTTACAAGATTTCCAGCATGTCCCCCATCTCATCCTCCACAGTGACTCAGCATACTCTGCTGTTAGAGATGCGACGTTGCAGCTGGGGAAATGTGAATACAAACCCTGTTGATGAACACCTTTGCTCAGGCAAACTTTATGTTTAAGTCAGGTCTAGTGAACGAGAGATTTTCAGCTGACCTTATTCTCAAATGCTCAACCTATTTTGCTTTCGCCATCCCATACTAGCTAAGTGTTACAAAGTTTTCTGTCTTTGTCAGAAGATTCCTTCTGAAATACTGCATTCACAAACTCTACATTAAGTCCCAAAGACTTATGTGCACTATTAATACTGCTGAGAATTTGTGTGTTAGGATGACCAGCACTAACACAAAAATACAGAAGTTAGTACTACAATAAGGTAATATGTAATTTTTCAGAATGCACCATGTATTTATAGTAGGATTTATGTCGACTTGCGCCCCTCAGGATGACTGTAAATAGTACAGTGAAAGCTGTTAACATGTATACAGAAAAATCATGGATTTAAATTTTAGATCACAGTAAAATAATGTCACATAATTTAAAATTTCCAAATGTCATTTACTGTAATATCACTTTGAACTATTCTCACTATATTTGGTCAGCATTATTGTCGTGCTTCAAAATCGCAGTGTACTCCATTCTTGTATTTATTTTAGTTCTTCGTTATCTTGGTTTTAGGGGGCTAAAGAGTGTTAAAATTAGTGTTTGGAAGTGTAGCAGTTGAGACAGGGCAACCTTATCTCTCTTCTATGCCATATTTCTCTGGCTTTTAACGAGGGGACATGTAGGGCTGAAGACTGATAACCTAAATGAAGCCCAAAGAGCTTAGCCTGGCTTCTCTGTGTATTTAATTAACTTTAATTAACTTCAAGTTAATTAAATGCCATGACTACTGTTGCTTTTTATGAGCAGAAATGGTGAGAGGGTATGTTTATTCTTAAAGATGTATGTTTAAAGTTTCAGTCTAAAAAACAAAGATCCCAAACTATAAATAGTTGTGTTCAATTTGTCCCTGGCAGCTCTGGCATTTGAAAAGTTAAGTGTTTAAGAGACAAATGTCCATTTGAGATTTAAGAGAAGTAGCGGTCTGCTAGTAATAGATCATCTGGGAGTAAAAGTAAAGGGTTTCATTTTATGTACAATACTATGATTTTGGGAGAACATCATGGAATCGTGGAGCTGAGTGTCTCAGTACATCACGGGATCTTTCTTCAGACTTAGTCAGGATTTCATCTGAGTGTGACCCAGAGGAGGAAAGGAAGTCATCTTAAACAAGGATGGCGTGATCATCAGGAGAGAGTGGTACAGAAACTTAACAGTGAGCAGAGGCTATAGAAACAAATGAAAGAGAATAATAAGGGAGAAAAATGAGAGAAAGCGAGTGGACAAAAATCTACCTTTTACAAATTTTAATCACATGGTTATCGGTGAGGCTTATTGTTACTTAGCTTTTTGGTTTTCCTGTGTTATATCAGAAATAAACTACAGTAGCCTTCTAGAAGTAACTGCAGGAAACCAAGAAAATAGACTGGTTGAAATATGTACTGTGTATTTGGCTCTAGATGTCTACACAGGAAAAGTCTTAGGAAGAAGGAAAAATAAAAATTGGGTTTCGGTGATTGGGAGAGACCTATACGGGAGTTCTTAGGGAAAACATGGGTATAATTTATCTTGGCTGTCTCTTTCCATGATAAATTTTGTATTGAATTCTGATGGTTATCACCTATAGCTGCTGCAAAAGTCGGTCTTCAGGGATGCTGATGGAACCCTTTGACTTAATTTCTTTTTAATCCCTGTTTCTGTGACATCTAGTTTCTAGAAGTTTGTGGTAACGAATCCCATTGTGTTACAAGAGATGCTTATGTCAGGAAAACCAAGTGATTCTTCAGGAGATTGAAAAAGATTTTTTTGTTGTCATCCTCTCTAGTCTGAA